AGGAATGCCCAAGACATCTTATATCTGGCATTCAGGCAAAATCCAGACAAAATATCCCAGTTGGCTGCACAGAGGCCACAGGCTGCATTTGGACACCCTTGCTACAGATTAGCTCCAATGAAAGAAAAAAACAAGCAAACAAAAAACTGCACAAAAAAACCCCAGTAACTTAATAGGAAGCAACTGCACATTTGCAATACTTTTCTCTCTACCATTCTAAAGAGGGCTGACAACTACAACATGTTTCTGCAAGAAGTTCTGTCAAACAGTAAAATACTGCTTCTCTATTTCATACACAACAAACTATAATCAGCATTTTCTAGTTTATCAAAATTATCAGGGAGTAAGACCAGCTAAACAATTTCAACACCGCAGGCTCTTAGATGTAGCACCTGTCTGGTCAAATAGGCAAATAAATATTTCACAGTTAGTAATACCATTAGCAACTAAGTTTTTAAAAATATTAATAATAAAAGCTATAATGGCATATTTAAATATATATTTAAATACATATTTAAATAGTCAAACCTTTCTGCCAACCCTAAGGACTTTAGAAAGTCAGGCTATTTTACATTTTGAACGTCTTATAAAAAGAATACCTTTAATTGGGTTAAGCATTTTTTTGTGGTAGAAGATGCAGACAAGTCAGACTGATAGGAATTGCAGTGACGTTTCTGTTGTACCTTCCTCTTAATTTCAGATTCTGATTCTGACTCTGACTCTTCTGTGTTTTCCATTATACTGTCTAGGAGGAAAGAAAAAAAAAAGCTGTTAAAAAGAAGTATCTGCTCATATGTGGTTAAGCAATACAATCAACATGTTTCTCCACATACATTAACTTGAATTAAACCTGAAGATTATTTTATACAGTCAACATTCTGTGCTTAGTTTCATTCACATAAAGAACTGTCTCATGATCTGCTGTATAAATATCCCAAATAACGCTGAAGATTATTTTAGTAGTACTATTTCAGAATTTCTCAGCGTCGTTTTTTAGCTTAGTATCTTCAGAGGAAGCTTTGACCTTGAAAACCTGCAAGAACTTTACTACAACTAGAACCAAACCTTTGCTAACGAAAGGAAGAGTGTGTCAGCTAGATGATGATGATGGTGATAATTTTCACAAAAAAAAAACTACTGCGAATGCATTTAAAATGACTGGAAATAATCTGCCTAGTTTAGGATTTGTTCCTTCAAAATAAGATGCAACAGTGTAATGAATTACACTGCCATAGCCTGCCTTATATCGGGGCACTCCTCTTCAAATTGGAAAAAGTCTATGAAAGGGGATGGAATCAGTCAGTCTCCACTAATGCACTAAATAATCTCCTTAAATCAACAATGTGTACAGAGGTAGATTTTCTCGTAAAAGCTACTTTTCAAAATGTTATAAAACATTGGCTTATTTCAGCTTAATTTCCAAGTCCCATTTAGTTTTCTAACATTTAATTACAGTCTTCATATTAGAACTTTGAGAGAGCTTTCTTTTTACAGAGATGTGAACACTTTTTCAATACAGACTTACAAATAACCTACTATTAGAAGATACCTCAAAGCTAAAGAACAACCTCTTTTCAAAAAATGAATAACAGCAGCATTTTTAATGATCTTATTTTTGCATAGATTAATGGTTATATAGTTCTATTTTATATTAGCATAACATTACAGTAGAATAACTGGCCAATATAGATGGTTTAGCAGATGACCATAGCAGGTCCACAGACTACATGTATGTGCAGTGAGAAATCTCCATGCCTCAAACACAGTGATTTTGTCCTGTTTCACAACTTCTACTCCTTAAGACAAATTGTATTTTCGCCCTTGCACCAGATATCCCCTAGAAGGGTCCCTCAGCGGTGCACTTTAGGTGAGCTACAAGGGAGTGCTGACACTGGCCATTCTACTCACTGACTCAGTGCACGAAAATACTTCTTACCGAGGGGTATTTATCATGCTACATTTTGCACATTATAATGATGCTACAGAAATTTCTCACCAATAACTTAAGACCAAGCTGGGAGTCTGGGGCTGGACTAGATAATTCCCAGAGATCCACTCCAAACTCAATGATTCTGTGATTTTAAGTTTTCTTCCCCATTTTCATTTGTTTTAAAATAACTGATGTTGAGTTTAAAATTTATTATAAAGGAGGATATAAATAAATATTCTAAAAATGTGCATAGGTTACACAAAAGTGGACATATCCTTGCTCAAAGCAATTTTTGAAAAAAAAATTGTCTAAAATAAATGAGAACTCTGAAGATAACTTACCCACTCCTTGAGGCCGTGGTAATCTAATGTGGTCTGCTTCTACTTTCTGAAGCTGAGGGGGATACTCTTTTCTGGAAAATATATTTGATATATGGTTGTTCTTTTGATAAACAACATCATATTTTGCCAGAATAATATGCTAACAAAATAAATCCAAAACCTATTTGAAAGTTATGAATAAATAATTCTTCCTATTACATGCTGTTTGAATGCTTTGAAATATTACCAGAATGCCAGGAACAGCTACAGTAAAGGTCTTAGAAGTGTTTCTGATCTAAATCCTCTTTGACGGTTATTAATAGTTAGGAGTCTCTCACTTTCAGAACAAAGTCTTCCAGGACTGATGCCTGTATGAAGTCCTCCTCCTCCTCCTCCTCCTCTTCATTCATAGGTGGTTTTATAATCCAAATATAGAAACAACTCTTATTTAAATATTTAAGTAGATTCCACAACTTAAGATCCAGAACTTAAAAAACAGGAAGAGATAAGGCAAAACAAAAAGGAAAGAGACCTGATGCCAAAAACTGCTTCGGCCAAAAAAACAAAAAAGACAACTACAGCAGAAAAAATAGCTACTACATATTTGTTTAAAAATATAATTTGGACAAATCAGTTGACAAGAGAAGTTTAGTTGGTACGATTCGTATAATGTATATCACACAGTTTATGTATATACTAATACACACAAGCCAGCGCAGTAAGATTTTTTCAGTTTCCTGAAAGGCATCTTTGATTTATACATAACACGTCAAGTTGTGCCACCACCAAACTGAGAGTCTTGGTGCTTTTGCACCGGGGCAGCTCCTGTGGCAGCCACCTGCACCCGGGACACGGCGCCTCCCCAGCAGGAACCGCTTCACGGGCAGCGTCAGCCAGTGCTCTGGGCTGCAAATGGGTCAGCTTAGCCACACACGTCACTGCTGCCACTGAACGCAGGGACAACAGGCGGAGGGACAGAGACACAAACCAGACAAACAGCTGCAGGCAGCAAAACCTTCATCTAACAGAAAGAAATCTTCAGACTCACCTGCCAAAACACTGGTTACTGCTGAAACAGACTGCACCATCTAGCCTAAGTCTGTAATTCTTTGGTTTATAACTTCCTAATGCATCAAGCTGCTAGGACCTTTGAATTATCCATACTTGTGGCTCACATCTCTCCCTCATTTTGTTATTAAGTGACCTATCTGGAGCAACATCAATCTACCGCTCCTTCTGCAACACGTCTTACCAAATCTGGCCCTCCAAATGGGTTCACCCACTACCACACCAAACCCCCTACACTGGGGGCCCAACACTGTAAAGAAAACCTCTGGGAGGAGCAGGAGGAGGGGTTGAGGAACACGACGGTGGCTGCGCTGCAGCAGAGTGTGGAGAAGCCCCTTCAGCAGCAGCCCCCAAGGCGCCCGCGCCAGCCCCGCGCCAGGGAGCCGGGTTCCTCCGGGCCGAACGCGCGGCCGCGACCACCGCGGCCACCACGGCGGGGCTGGCGGGGGGTTGATTGTAAATCAAACCTGCACGACACAAACTGAACCAGAAAGAGAAATACTAATCCTTGCTTGCAAACTAAGACTTAAGAGGTTTTTTTTAAAAAATTTCTTTAACAGTCAGAATCAGAAGAGGATTACTCAACACATTTGATAAAAATACAATCCTACCTGGTTGTTACTACCAAAACATATAAAATATTACATATAACATACATAGAAAATAAAATATACATGGACACATATTTCTATATAAACATTTAAGTTTGAAATGTTTGATTCATATTTCAAAGAAGCAAAAGCAAAATTATTTAACAAAATTTAACTGAAAATAATATTAGAAATTTAGAAATTTGTAGATCAAAAAGTTTGACAATTCAAGGTCTCTCTACATTTAAGTTACGATTTTTTTCCTAAAAGTCTTACATGTTTTTACTGCATGAACTTGAAATATATCTTTGCCTTTTAAGGTAACAGATTCATCACGTAACTAGATTTTGTTAAATAATTTTTTGACAACAAATCAAGAGTACAATAGCATTATTTATCTTTGAACAAATTTGGGGGTATCAGCATAGGCTTACACTGATACTTACTAAAGAGTCAAACACTTGCAAAAACAACCACCACCACCACCATGACCAGGAGCTGGTATAAAGTGAGCATCTTGCATCTCCCAGAATAAAAACCCATTTATTACTCATCTCTTCATATGGGGCCAATAACACACAGGTAGTAGTAAACACTTCAGTAAATAGTTCATTCATTTCTTCAATTATTCTAGCAGCATGTTGAATACAAGTTCTAAATCTCTAATCTCATTAAACACAGATATGAAGGCTTTTATTTCTCCATATATTTAAGTAACATTTGATCAGCATTTGACCTCACACACTTTTATCCATAAACGAAACTAAAATGCTGTATCTGAAATTCCAGCACAGTCCATCTCATGCTGCTAGTCTCAGCTTTCTCCACAGCAAAGCTCAGCCCAAGGAAGGTCTTAGTTCACATCATTTTGTTGCTCAATTCCTACAACCCAGACAGTTGCTAACAAGATGTATCACTTCTGCTTATTCTTTTTAGCAAGAATCAGCTGGAATGTTAGGATTTCTTTACGTGTTATAATTAAAACACAGACAGGCCTCTAATTGATACCATCTCCACAATCATGTCTTCCCACATTAGAAATATTATGTAATTTTTGCTTTCAATATAATCACTCTGAATTTCATTCTAGAAAGCCAAAAGCAACTGTAGATCTCCACTATCCCATCTGATCATTTACTTTTCCAGTATTTTCAATTATTCATTAACTTTTTCATTTTGCTAATTTGCCTTGCCATCACACAAGAAAGCAACATGTTTTGCCCAAACAGAATAATATTACTCCTTTAGTGTTTTCAACGCAGATTTTGAATTCTGGTTACAGATTCTTGCCACACTTCTCTGCTGATGAATTGGACCTGACTATCGTTACTATCCTCACTTTAGAGTGGGACATGGACCCCTGTGGCACCTTCCAGACAAAGTGAAATTTTAATATTAAATGTCTTCTCTATGAAAACAAGCAAATAAAAACAAACAAAGAAACAAACAACTCACACACCCTTGGGAAGAGCCTTTGGCTAGACTGGACAGGCAGAATCCTAATGCAACATCTCATTCAAGCATACATATGGATGTGGGAACTTAGGATACATGCTGCCGTCTTAGATCAGACCATGATTATTATCAGACTTGTTATCAGACCTTGACCTCTGGCTCCGCTTGGCTGTGCCCAAAAGGAAGCCCCACCACACCACTGCCTGCACGAAGGGCACAGCAGAAAGCCTCCTGGTTTCCAAACCTCCACATAAAAGCGCAGTAGGGCATGGCAAGCAAGCCGTTGGGGTGAGGTTTACCTTCCGATGCCCTGCAGAAAAGCAGCGTGCCAAGTCAAAGGGTGGAAGGGGTAGAAGGCACAGGCAGTTGGGATTTTAGTGTGCAGGCTGCAAGGCCCATTTGGCTGAGAATGTCAGGAGTAGCGACGGCCCTTATCGTGAGGGCAGTCATTAAAAGTAAATTGAGGAACTCCCACCTAAATCACCATCCCCTGCTAGGATGGCAGTGAAAAACAGAGAAGGCAGAAAAGAACATATCCAATAGAAAGAGTATTTCATAACCACCTGGTCATCGAGCAGAAGGTGTCCCCATGGGAAAATTAATACCGCCAGCATACAACTCAACTGACATACAGTATCAAATTAATTGCTGAAGAGTTAATTCTTCATAACATAAAAGCAACAGAGGAAGAAAACAGGAAAAAAGAACGTGAACTCAAAGCCAAGACAGAGAGCAGATGACCAAATCCCGTGTTAAAGGGTCAACGGGCGACCTGTCTGCTCTCCTTTGGTATTTCTTTTAGGAAATCACAAAGGGCAGTGAAGTTGAAAAGTTCATATGATTTCACTACTAAATTTAAGACAAATCCACAACATCCTGAATTCACAAAGAAATCTACATTTGAAGTTTGCATTATTTTGTGATCTGCTGAATGTTAAGTATACAGTGTAACCAAGTAAATCGAGCTTATACTGCCAAAAAACACTTCCTTAGAGAAGATATTTACAAAAACTGAACAAACTCACTGCTATCAATAAAATACTTCCAGAAATCTTTAAATATAAGCTGTATTAAAAAAAAACGCAAGCACAGTATTTCATATTGTGAACAAAATACTGAAAGCAAATAAAACAGATACAAAATGAGTGACAATCAGCCTTACAGGGTGTTTTTGCTGCAGTTTCTGTTAATTGAGTTACGATTTACGCTTCATGAACAGAACATATACACAATAAACACAATCAGAAAACTTTAATGTTATTTAAACCAAACTGAAGTGATAGAAAGCTGTTATATATCCTGACAAAATATGCTTCAAAACCATTCTACTGCATTAAATTTACTGCAATGCCTTTTGAAGAGCTAGGGGTGAATTCTTACATTCCAGGTAGAATTGTAAATTACATATTTTCA